CCGTTGGTGAAGACACTGTATGGTCGTGTCAGACCAATGTAGAAGACAGTTTATGGGGTCATGTCGGACCGTTGTAGCAGGACAGTTTACGGGGTCATGTCGGACCGATGTAGCAGGACAGTTTACGAGGTCATGTCGGACCGATGTAGCAGACACTGTGTGGTCGTGTCAGACCGATGTAGAAGACAGTTTATGGGGTCATGTCGGACCGGTGTAGAAGCTGACCGGAATCAATGTCGGGACAGTTTATGGGGTCATGTCGGACCGTAGTAGCAGGTTATGGTGGTGCACCAAGGGGGCGACTTAGGGAGTGCGCCATGAGCGACTTATACATGATATTGTGTATAACCCCCTCTCAAACTCACATAGGTGTGAAGATAGAAACCTATTTGAGGTGGAAACAAAGGGATTGATAAAGCGGACCGGTGTAGAAGACACTGTATGAGTGTGTATATAGGCTGCCCAAAAGATATACATGGAGATATATATAGCGAGCCCTCAAAAGTCGCGCCCTCAAAAGGCGCGCCCACTTCATCAAAAGGCGTGCCCGACAGAAAGTGTCGAGCCATCAAAAGGTGAGCCGGAGACGCGGCGAGGCACGTGAGCGACAGAGTGGCGTGTCGGCCGCGTCGTCAGTGTCGATATAAACCAAGGCGGATGCTGTGGCTGAGGCAGAGACAAAACCTGCTAAAAATCCTCTGAAAAAAAACTCTGCCGTTTCTGGGAGAGAGACTCTGTAACACTCTGTTGCCTAGAAAATGGCTTCGTCTTCCCGCGGTCTGCTCACCCTCTTTCCCGACCTCAACGAGTCAACAAGAGAGACAACTGGTGTGGGGGCCCGTGAACCTCAACCAAACACCTCTGGTTTTGCTCCATTGAACTTTCCGATGCGGTCGGTAGAGCAAAGAATGGCAGTGCAGTCGGATGTGGAGGCCAGTCAGTATACATTGAAGTCATGTGTGGAGACCATGACGGCAGTCACAAACTTGTCGAACTGGCTGCAGAGTAGGACAAATGAGGTGCAGCAGTTAAACGCCCAACTGGCTCTGCTCCAACGCATGTATAAGGATGCGCGAGCAGAGATAAGTGTTCTAAAGGCGGAAAACAAGGATCTGAAACGGAAGGCCACCGTGATGTTCCGATTTGGAGGTCCGCCATATGCTGCAGTGGAGGAGCAGGGAGGAGGGAACGTGCTCGGCGGCGTGGGGAACACGGAGGCAGCACTGGCAAGGGCCGCCCAGGACGGAGGCAAAAAGAAGAGACCGGCGGAATAGGCGAAGAAGTGAGGTCGGTTGGTGGCCGGCTGCAGAAAAGAAAACAAAGCTGTTGTTGTTTTTTGTTTTTTTTTTGTGTAAAATTATGATCGGGGTTGATCCCGGAGATGAATAAAATATGGGTGTTGTGCAAATTTGTAAATTTTTTTGATTATTTTTTTTTTTTTTAATAAAAAGAGATATATATATATATAATAAAGAAAGTTGGGAACAATATGATAAGTGTGTATCTTAAAATGATAAATAAAAGAAAGTTGAAGACATCCGGATAGCGGTGTGTATGGATGTGATAATGAGAGTGAAACAATCTCAGTGGAGGTGATTAAATAAATAAAAGAAGAATGGGTGTGGACTGTGAGAGGTAGGAGAGAGACACTGACTGAAAGTTCTGATAGTGGGAAATATAGGTGTGATTAAAGAAAGAAATAAATAAAAAGGAAAGAAGAATGGGTTTGAAGCAACTGGGAATATCAACAGGGCTTAAAATGTGGTCGATGAAGATGTGTTTGGCTTCGGCGTGAACAAATGCGATGCCAGAGTCATTGCAGAGGATGTGGAGGTGGCCAGAGGGGTCGGTGGAGAAGCGGCCGGCGAGGGTTCTTCCACCCCTACACCAACGATGGCGGCTGCGGAGAGAGAGTTATGTGGTGCGCCGTCAAGGCCATCCAATCTGATCTCGACTACGTCGTCTACACCGGCGATCATGATGCTAATCGAAAGAGAAGAACCCACCGCCGATCTGAGAGAGATGATGTGGTGACCCAGTGACGAGTTTCCGATGCAGCTGAAATCGTTGTCGTGGCTCAGCAGAGTCGATCGCCGAGAGAGAGAGGTTGGTCGAGTGATGGAACAGAAGAGAGAGATTGGAGGTGGCCAGAGGGGTCGGTGGAGATGGGAGAGGAGATGCCGGATTTTAGCTTGAAGTTGCCGAACTTCACGGCGGAGATGTCTGTGGAGTTGCAGAATCAGTGACTCCATTGTTGGTGATGATGCCATTGCTCTTTTTTTTTTTTTTTTTTTTTTTTTGGAGTTGCAGAATCAGTGACTCCATTGTTGGTGATGATGCCATTGCTCTTTTTTTTTTTTTTTACTCTCAAATCTGTCGAGAGAGAGAGAGAGAGTGAGAGAGGTGTGTTGCATGTTTGGTATGTGTCTTAGAGAGAAAGCAGCTTAGGAATGTCTAGATAGAGAAGAGAGAAATGGGTTTGGTGTGTGTTGTCTATGTCTGTGCATGTGTGTTCCCGTGTGTGTATGTGTGCATGGTGTGTGTATAATGTGTTGTCCATGTGTATCTGTGTGTGTGTGGTCTGTGTTGGGTGTGCTGGGTGTGTTCTGCCATTGAAGAAGAAATTAGGGAAATTTGGGTTTGTCCGGCGGGCGGCCAAGGCGAGATTGCCGCCCGCCGGTGGAACGAAAATACTAGGTTCTTAACCTAGCTCTGATACCATGTAAGATAATTTGATAGAAAGAGAATAAATTGCATGTATTATGATTGATGTGTGTTGATTGATGTATGTAGTGTATATTACAACTGTATATATAGAAGAGAAGGTGGTAGGTGGTAGTGGTAGGTGTAGGTGGTAGTGGAGGTGGTAGGTGGAGTGGGTGGTAGTGGAGGTGGTAGGTGGATGGTAGTTTACATTTTACAATTTACAATTTACATTAACGATAACAGTGTCCATCAAGATTTTAATTCACATAATATCTTTACTATTTTTCATCAGTAATTCATTAGTTATTATCTCTTTCCTACCAAATTATAAATTTGTCTTTTTTTTTGTTTATTTTTATGACTTTTTAATTTTTTTGATTAAAAAATCAAGTTGTCAAAGGTGACCTAAATATGCCTCTGCCTCAAAAATATACATGTTACTATCTTTATTCTTCTAATAATATAGAGGGTGATGCTATACCAATAAAGTTTTCTGCATAATGATATGGCCTTTTATATAGTCTTTTCATTTCAAAGCAAAATAATTATAATTGTAATTTAAATTTGTAAAAATATCATTATCACATAATTTTGTATGAATTTTAGGTATAAAAAAAACTTATTTGTAAAATATTTTTCTATGAAAAAGTAATATTATACAAACTATAAGAACATTTGAAATCTAACTCACTTCAATAATTTAATATTGTCATATTAATGAATTAAACTTTTTTTTGCATAAATTGGATAAATTACATTGTCCTTTGTTGAGGTTTAAAGAAATTAGAGTAAGTCTCATAAATTTAATATAATTACTTTGAACTCTCTGAATATTTTAATTCATATAACTTAGTTTCATTTTCATTAGAAATTTGTTTGTTATATGAACGACAAAAATAATATTGTCATATCTGTTATATTGAAATATACATTTTATTTTATTTTATTTATTTTTGTCTTCACACCATTTGTATTAATACCAATCTTTTTGACCTTACTAAAAAGGATGTCAGTGTAATTATATTAAAACTGTAAGATTTGTTTATATCCTCCAAACTTTGAGGGAAATTAGTTTAATTTACTCAAAAATATTTGTAAAATTTATTAGTTTATCTAAGATTTTTAATAAAGTTACAAACACTTGTTCGTGTATTAACAAATAAACATAATGTTAGGTGGATCTCATAGGCGATGGATCCAATAATGGGAAATTATCCAATAATAATGAACTTATTAGTCTACTAACAAACATATATTAACAATACACAATCTTAAATAAGTCTAACATCAAGCGGTGGATTGTAAGTTAGTGTTTTTAGCATTACTAATAGAGCAATGTTAGAGATATCTAAATATTAGGAAAAAAAATCTATCAAATACTTATATAGGTGTAGTATGTGATTGTTTGATAATTTTTTTGATAGAATATTTTGAATTTCTAATATTTTTGTCACTGATAATATAATTAGTCTTAATTGTATATGGGTCCCTACTACTAATGAGAATCCTATGTGCTCTCAATAAATACTACAACATGATAAACAATTTAGGATTTAGCTTGTTTCTAATTAAAAATTGAACTGAATTAAACAATTGAGGTCTCTAACCGGTAAGATTTGTTAACCATAAAACTCTTATAGATAAGAGTTTGTAAAAATATGACCTAATTGATTTTTTTAAAAAACTTTCATTGATAAAAGTCTTCTGTTTAATAACTTTTATCGATAAGAAATCTTATCTGTCTGATCTAATTAAAAGTTTAACTAGAGACAAACCATTCCCAGCAATTTATAATTTCAATACACTTTTTATACATTTCAATATAATTTAATACATTTTTTTATATATATATTTTTTGTTTTTAGCATTTTGTTTGGTAGGTAATAAAACCCAACCCTTGATTATGTCACAAACACCACGTGTTAAAAGAGAAAGTGTTGTCGTCTTGCAGTGGAGAAGTTTTGTAGTAGGCCCACCGGCCTACCTTTACTTCACATTTGCATGGTTTTCTTTCTTTCTTACGTGATTCAAGATCCACACTGCACAGTTCCTATCAACCAAACGGCAACCCCCGAATCCATTTCCCACAATTTTCCCAACAGTTCTCTCCTAAACTCTTTCTCACAAAATCATCACTCTCTCTCTCTATATAACCCTACTCTCCCTCTCACCTTTCTCATTCACGAATCACTACATAAACACTTCAAAAAGTGAACTTCCCAAAACCAAAACTTTCTCCCTCATTTCTTGATGGTTGCTGGTGCCCATACTTTGGTTACTTGAGTTAGCCACACCACTCACATGGAAAACCCACTTCTCTTCTTCACTGTCATTGCTGCCACGTCAGCATATCTCCTCTGGTTCTACCTCTTAGCCCGCCGCCTCACCGGTCCACCTGTCTGGCCTTTCGTGGGCAGCCTCCCGGTTCTTTTCCTGAACCAGCGCCGCTTCCACGAGTGGATATCCGAAAATCTCCGCTCCACCGGCGCCGCCGCCACGTACCAGACTTCCACCATCTGTGTACCTTTTCTTGCAAGTAAACAAGGGTTTTACACAGTCACTTGTCACCCGAAAAACATCGAACACATTCTCCGAACCCGGTTCGACAACTACCCGAAGGGTCCGATTTGGCAAACCGCCTTTCATGATCTTTTGGGTCAAGGCATTTTCAACAGCGACGGCGAGACGTGGCTTATCCAGCGCAAAACCGCCGCTCTCGAGTTCACGACCCGGACTCTCCGACAGGCCATGGCTAGGTGGGTGAACCGGACCATCAAGACCCGGTTATGGCACATTTTAGCGAAAGCATCAACCGAAAATATTGCTGTAGATTTACAAGATTTGTTGCTTCGTTTAACTTTTGATAACATTTGCGGACTCACATTCGGGAAGGACCCGGAAACGTTATCCCTCGATTTACCCGAGAACCCGTTTGCAAACGCATTTGATTCCGCAACCGAAGCCACTCTTCAACGGTTACTTTACCCGGGTTTTCTATGGCGGTTGAAGAAGATACTGGGGTTCGGAGCCGAAATGAGGTTAAAAAAGAGCCTCGACGTAGTCGAAAACTACATGACCGAGGCTCTGGAAGCTCGGAAAGAGTCTCCGTCAGACGATCTCTTGTCTCGTTTCATGAAGAAACGAGACATAGACGGAAATCACTTTCCGAGCTCAGTCCTCAAGCGAATCGCTCTCAATTTCGTCCTCGCAGGACGAGACACGTCGTCAGTCGCTCTCAGCTGGTTCTTCTGGCTCGTCATGAACAACCCAAGTGTCGAACAAAAAATCATAAATGAAATAGTAAATACCTTAAAAGATTCGCGCGATCCCGATGATCCTAGAACATGGTTCGAAGAGCCTCTGTCCTTCGACGAAGCCGACAAATTGATTTATCTTAAAGCGGCATTGGCCGAGTCGTTGAGATTGTACCCTTCGGTACCGGAGGATTTCAAGTACGTCGTAAACGACGACGTTTTGCCCGACGGAACGAAAGTGCCGGCCGGTTCGACCGTGACGTACTCGATTTATTCTGTGGGAAGGATGGAGACTATATGGGGAGAGGACTGTTTGGAGTTTAAACCGGAGAGGTGGTTGTCGGAGCGGGGAGACCGGTTCGAACCGCCAAAAGATGGGTACAAGTTTGTGGCGTTTAATGGCGGTCCGAGGACTTGTCTCGGGAAGGACTTGGCTTACCTGCAAATGAAGTCAGTGGCTTCGGCTGTGCTGTTGCGTTACCGGCTATCACTGGTTCCCGGTCACCGGGTCGAACAGAAGATATCCCTGACTTTGTTCATGAAGCATGGGCTTCGTGTGTATTTGCATCCACGTGACCTGGCAGCTCCTGGGTTATCCACGTATGCATAAGTGGAGGGCTTTTTCGTCTTAAAGGCTTTTTCAGGTGGTGCGTTGAAGGGAAATTGGTAATTTAATTTGTATTTACTTTCGTTATATACATTTCCATCAAAGTGTTTGCTTTTTGGTTGGGGTGGTTCAATTTGAGCATGGTCGTTGGTCGTACACAGGAGGGTATTATAGTAAATGGAAAAGGTTCTGTTTTTTATCCAAAATATTTATAGATATGGGTTTTCTTTTATTTGTCGATAATAATAAAACATAAATATACATGTTCTTATTTTTAATTGAGGATCAAAGAATCAAATCTGTAGAGGGTAAATTACACTTGGCTCGCACAGCAAAAAAAAAAAAAATAAATAAATAAAAGAAGCAAAGCTTATAAGGTCCACCATCAGTATATAACCATGCATCAACCAATGTGGCTTTCTCATAACTGGTGAAAGTGAAAACCTAAATTGTATTTTCAGGAGTGATTGAGACCCCTTCAATCACCATCCCCACCACTCCCATATACACGTGAGACTTGTGAGACTGGTGATTGGAGAAGATGAAAAAGAACAAGAAGAAGAAAAAAAAAAAAAAAAACACACACTGGCCAATCACAGCCAGAGGGAGTGCCCTGTGGGTCTAAGTCATTTGTATTTTGGGAGCTGTTTCTTGTAGAGCAATGATTGAGACGTCACAAAAACTCTACCCCACAACCCCTACATCATGCTATGTGAGAGAGGAAAAATTAAAAATTAAAAAAACAAAAACAAAAATAAAAATACACATGTACCAATCACACACATTTGAAAGTCATGGAAGTCCTCAAATTAAGGTCCCAAACTTTTTCCTTTCTCATAATACCAAGTCTTATCCCTCTTTGAATGTTTTTAATTTAAGGTGTTCTAACTTTACTTGTTTAAATGTACCGTTAATAAGAGAATATTAAACTTTTAGAACAATTAGTGATCAACCATATCATTTTCAGGGCCTTTTATCATCCACTATTTCTTATATATATATATATATATATATTTTTTTTTTTTTTTTCATTTTTCTAACCTATAAGAACAGAAGTATACAATGGAGAAACTACAAAATGGAAAAGATGTTACACTAATGATCACAAATTGATGTGTTGGTTTTTATCAATACATACATGTATAAGCTGTGTCAATGTTATTTTTGCATATTTACTCTCTCCTCATTGAGATGGTGCAGGAGCAACGGCAACATGGCCATGGCCTTCTCATAATTATGTTTCCGAACTCTTTGCTTGGCGTTCAAAAATTTTCAGCCAAACAACAATTTAACCGAGTTTACTTCTATCAATTCCTCCGGTTGTTTCTCTCCATTTTTGGCTCGGGCCATGTGAAGCCTGAATCTTCGCATCCTAATGACCTATTCATGAGACTTAATCCACTATTTTCTCACCGGTTGAGAAAAGATTCCAAACCACGGTTCCAACCAAGTAGAGTCCAACTGAAACCTTGAAGACATCATCCCAAGAACCTGAAAATTCAGTGAAAACCTTTCGGTGAGTAATGAGTATAAGAGCAATTGCAAGTCTACAAACAGCTAAAGTATGTGTATAAGCACGTTTGAAACCCAACAAGAAGTAGATGCCACCTCATAATTTTCGTCACAAGAAGGGATTAACTCAGATATTTCTAGATATACATTCGCCACACTTCTGTGTTAGCTGAACCAACCTATTTTGCTAAAATCAGGGCTTGTTTTGACCTTGTACACTGTAGTCTTCACCAAGTTAACCAAACAGCAGGACTAAAACACAAATGTGTATAGTATACAGCTCAAATGATACTTCAGAGTAGGTGAAACCCAGGCCAACGTGATTTCAGGTTTGATACTAAAATTTGAGCCCCTTACAGTCGCAAGGTTTAACTTGCCAAAGTTTATAAGCAAAAAGCTCAAGCAAGAACCACTTAAGACTACTTGAATTAATCTATTGCTAACACAAGCATGAAGTATAGGCTAAAAGAATCAATGCCATGTTCATTTGGCATACCAAATTTCTGACTTAATAGCCTTGTGTTTGTAACTATTAAGGGGTGTGTGTGTGTGTGTGTGATACAAACATGTGTCGAGAGAGAGATCCATGAATTATTTATGGGCAATATCCAAAAAGTGGAAAGATGGTAAAATAATTTGAAATTTATAAAAGTACAAGTGGCACATGCACTAATTTGTGCAAAAAAATATTATACTTTCATGTATTTGAAATTATTTTACTATCTTTCCACTTTTTTGATATTCTCCCAATTATTTAAATGTTCTCTCTCAGAAACACAATACCCCGAGCTAAAACAATTCAACAATAGCCTGGTTTCAGCAGACAGCAACATATGGTTTGCTAGGCCTTTATCAACTGCATAACCCTCCCTTGAAACGTCTGCAGGGTGGGATTGTTTCAATTACAAAGCTAGTGGCAAGTACCACACCCAAATGTTCCAACAAACCGGGATCAGGGTTGCAATCGTATATACGTAATCATGTTATGACAGTTCTGAAGCAGTTCTCTTCACATGAAAGACACCAGAAACAGATTGAAGGACTATTGAACAGGCGGTTTAAACTTGAGTATTTAGAAGCATAACACATATATATATATATATATATATCTACATTGGACATTAATTAACAGTATACATAATGTGAGGATATGAAATGTACCGTGTTGCAAAATGTAACCAGTTGCTGCAGTTCCAAAAACACCTGCCAGCACTCCAGCAGTATTGGATAGACCAAGCAATACCCCCTGCATAATTAATTGAAAATAAGAAACATAACACACTGCTTTATCCCCTTAGGCAGTGTCTGGATTACAGATTTGGGTAGGGATTTGGAAAGGTAAAGGGAAAAAGAAAAGGTGTGTGAAATGTAATTATATTTCGTTCACATTTCGCCTACCTTTCCCTTTTCCTTTCCCTGCCTAATTCCTACCCAATTTCATGCTCCAAAGACAGCCTTAGAGAAAATGATGGTGGTATTGATGACACTACTTTGCTCCTGACACACCAGTCTAGCTGATGGACCATTAAAACCCTAGATGATTATCTCATGGTAACAATATTCCCAGAAGGAGATATTAAAATTAGACATGAACATTGTTAAAAAATAATAATAATACTACTCACGGAATATCGAGGGGCGATATCTTGATGGTTTGAATACAAACCAGACTGAGAGAATGCATCGGTCCCCTGTTTTAAGGAGAAAAAATAAAAATAAAAATCTTAATACTGCACATTGAATTACGCCAGCAGATTTGGACCATCATTCTGATATCTATTTCAAAGAAGAAAAGAAAAATAATAAATAAAAAAAAGAATATACATATGTAAACAATTTCTTTGGATTTTCTTTCCATTCTCTGGACAATTCAACTTTGCAAAGAAGCCAAGAACATTATGCAATAAGCTTTTACATGCTATGAAGTACTGCGAAGAAAGCATAAAGGTGTAGACTTGAACTTGATAACACTAGGGATTGTTTCACCCTTGTGGGATACTATGAAGCACAGATATTTCAAATAGGGTGACGTAACAGATACGTATCGGATAATTATTAAAAGTATTGGATACTCGAAGTTATGTAATACTTGTTTAACAGTATTATAATATAATATAATATAATTGCAAGGATACATATAAGAATATTCTTTTCTAATACCTTGATTAGTTCTTAGAAAATAGTGAGTTAAATAATAGAATTTGTCAAATTGATATATCCTAATTGTTTCATGCATGTCCCCTATAACTACATAGAAAGTAAGGATTAACAAGATAATATAATAATAGTAAAATTAAATATTAATAAATAAATAAGCAAGTAAGCTTAAATACAACATTTTTTACTAGTGCCAAAAGGAAAAGCACAAGGACAAGATGTGAATTGTTCTATTATTGTAATATAAGCATATTAGACTTGATATTCAAATGAATTATTTGCAAGATCTATTAAAAATTTAAAAGGTAAACAAGTTACTAGCTTAAATTAGTACTTAATTCTTAAAAATTAGTATTTTGTATTATAAAATTACAGTATGGTTACTCAACATTCTTTAGATTATGTGTAACTCACTAAATAATAAATTAAAAATATATATTTTTCACAAACGTATCGTAGCCGTACCCGTATCCTATTTTTTTAGATTTTGTCATACTGCCATATCCATATCGTATCGTATCCATATCTTGTATCCGTATCCATGCTTTCTAGGTGGGAGATGACTATGGACTTTGTAAGAGAACTGCAAAGCACTTTCAGAAGGAACGAAAAAAAACTAGCCGAAGGAAATTGCAAGACCCTTGGAGAAAAAATAAATAAATTCAAAAGCATACGAAAGGAGTAGATATATCTTGCTTGTGGGATTCTCCAAAGAGATTTTTTTTTTTTTTTGGTTAAAGGGGAACAGCACTACTTAGGATCATCTCGAAGCATAATTCATGGTGCTGAATAATGAATTAAGAGAGAAAGATGTATTGAGCTTTCAGATTGTGATAATACAGGACACCAGATTTTTACTTTCACTACATATTTATTTTGGCCATGGGGGACTGTCTGAACAAATGATCTTATTATGAGAGAAGAAATGAAGCATGTGCATAAAGGAAAAGATGCATATTTGAAAACCCAATGTATGCAGTCTGTCACGGCAGTCAAAAAATTTCTTGCAACTCCATGAAGCAAAACACTTAAGGTAAGATGTTTTAGGAAGGAAACGATACCAAATCGAATTACGCTCTTATTATTTTTCTATTTCTGCAAGTAAAAACAAACCTGGCTGCACGACATGCACAAAATGGCCATTGCAGGAGAATTAACATGGCTCAACTGAGTCAGAAAAAAAGCAGGGCCAAGAAATCCAATAGTCTGCATGATCTGCAAAGTAGATTACAGAAGAACATACTCCAGCAATTCAGACATGCTAATATTCCAAAAACTGCAATAGATGGATCAACTGAACAAGCTGTGTTTTTATCAACAGAGTATGCCACAAAGATTTTTGAAAGCCACTGCAAGAAATTTATTAGCTTAACATGACTGTCTAGCAAGTAGAGAGAGAGGGAAAAAAAAAAAGAATAAAAAAAAAGAAGAAGAGAGAAGCCAATTATAGGCAGATCCACCAGTAGATGAATTAATCCAAATTCAGAAACATAGTTGAGGCTAAAAATAGCCAAAAAGTACACTCAGTTTAGTTCCTATTGGTGGCATTTGGAAGGGGTAGATTGGGTACAGACTTGAGGCTACAAATCGTACATTAAAAAATGGAAGTCCAGAACTCAACAACTCACCTGATGCGTAAGGTAAGCACTAGTTACAATTCATAATTGATGAATTTATGTATGATTTTATTATTGAAGAAAACATTGCTCCCGGAAAATTTTATATAATAAAGACTACTACACGGTGAATCATTTAGTTTATATTAGCTATCAAAAAAATTATAGAAATGAGATATACCTTTCGAACCTTGGTCACAGATACACCTTTGCTCACTAGTGTATCTGCAATCCATCCTCCCAGATTTGCAGAAAATGCCATTGTAAGCCAGGGCAATACACAGAAGAGCCCAGACTCCGTAATATTGAGCTTCAAGACCTACAAAAGAATTTAATTGAAAATGGAAATTCTCAAATCAATACTTCTAATCTGAATTTTCTTTTACAAGATGTCAAGATACTTATAGCAAAAGCGACATCAGTATTTGACTGTATGAGCAATCTCCACTCTAAACAATGTTGCCAACAAAAAGGTAAGAAGAAAACCACAGCTTTAGCAGCAACATCATCCAACTAACAGTCATGTTGTGCCATGTTACTGTTACAAGATCTTGGGTAGAACTCACCCCAAAAGTTAGTTATTAAGGTGAGGATGCCCTCACACTTATATGTGCACCCTATCCATCCTTGAGTACTCTAGCTCTGATACCATGTTATACGGTTTTGGGTAGAACTCACCCCCAAAAGCTAGCTATTAAGGTAAGAGTGCCCTCACGCTTATATGCATAATATTACTTTAGGATTCAAGCAATGTGGGACTTCGCTTCACAATTACATGGACTTGGATATGAGTATCGGGTGTGAGTGCACATTCCAGCACCAGACATTCATTGTTGTTGTTTGTTCCAAAAAAAAAAAAAAAAAATTATCAGACATTCATAAACCTAAATCTTAGGCTATTAGGATAAGTATGCAAAAGTTGGATATAAGTATGACCAAACGAGGAAACATGATGAACTCACATCTATATTGCATATTGTATAATATTCTTAGATAAGATATTGTAAATTATGTAAAAGTGAACTTGAAATTAAATAGGATTTACGAAAAATATTAAATTTCTCTCATCCATTTAATATGAGTTTCTTCTTCTTCAAACATCGTAAAAAATTAGAGGATTCAAGCGTCTAAATTGGATACAAATATCAAATCCATATCCCACACCCTTACTTTTGTCATATCCAATGGACATAGATACTTTAGGAGAAATAGAAGAGTCTATATGATGCGGAACGAGCATACATCAATTTTGGGTGGAGATTTTATTTATAATTTTATAATTTGTAATATTCATGTTTATTTGTTATTTTTAATTGATTATAGCTAATTAGTAGTCTTAATTAAATTAAGAGCTTTATTAGATGTCTTTGGTTTCTTATTTTATTGAGGATTAGGTTTCCAAATAATAATAGATTCAATTTCCTATTTTGATTAGGGTTTCTTTCCAGCTTATAAATATTAGTTTTTGGCATTGTGTAAAAGTTTTGGAATTAAATTGGGTGTTTAAGATTGTGGCCATTGTGTTAGGGTTGTGGCCCTTCTTTTTATCTCTCTTCTTCTTTCTTCTCTTCCCCTATGGTGTTCTACATCAGCATGTGTAACACAGTGTTCAACTAAAACTCACAGGTTGAAAACTGAATACACAAATAACACTTGACAAAATGTCTTTATGGTTCCTGCCCAAGGCTTTGGTCAATTGGCAACATAGAGAGTCCTGCTAACATGGCTTGCCTAAAATTAGTTATGCGATCAGCACCAAATGAATAGGGGAAAAATGAGACTAGGATTTAGGTGTTCTGTTACTGTAACTTGTGTCTAGGTTTTCCTTCCATTATTTACCTAAATATTGATGTTTTTAGTGTTTTAAGCAATGATCAGCAAACACCATTCACCAATTAGTTAATCCTATGGGCCACATAAATAATTTAACATTGTACAATCCAGGAAGATACTGAGGTTGTAAGCTCACTAGTTGTTTCATGGCCTCAAAGTAGAGAAGCGAATACAATTGCAATGAAAAAAGTGATTTACCTGGTTATAGTATGTAGGCATCCATGTTAGAAGAATGAATGTTCCCCAATTGTGACAGAAGTGAGACACTATTAATGCCCACACAGGTGCTTTTGACAAGATTAATCTCCAAGGTATTGATTTGACAGGCTCCTTTGATATGCTGTTTTTAAGGATTAACTTCTTTTCTTCAGGCCGCAGTTGGGGATCATCAAGAGGTGAACTGTATGCCTATAGAAAATAAGTGAAAAAATAAAAAATAAAGGCAACACAAAGATAAGCAAGAAAATTCCATTTTTGGAAAAAAAGAACTGACTAACAACATATAATCAGCTCCACAGACTTTGTAACAGAATTTGATTTTTAAGAAGAAAAAAAAAGGTTGTAATAATTTAAAAGTTACCTTAGTGAGCCATACAGCAACCCAAACTGATCCAAGAGAACCAAAGGAGTAAAAGACAGATGGCCACCCATAATTATGTATTAATAATGGTGAAAATGCTAGACCAGTCACAGATCCAAGGTACATTCCACTATATACCAGGGCCAACGATCTACTCCTCTCAGCTACAGGAACCCACTTTGATAGGAGATTATTCATTGCTGGCATGGCAACACCCTGAAAGAGGAGAAAAAGGTAGACACTGTCATAAAAGAAAGAATGATATTACGATGAACTATTTTGCTAGGCAATGAAAATCACGTCTCCAATTTGAAAATAAGAATGGAACATAGAATTGCAAGACTAAGACAACTTCGTTAGTAGATTACACTAATATAAATTATCTTCAGTATATCCTTTTTTCCTTTCTTTTCATTTCAATTGTTTTCCCACATATTAGAGAATGGAAGAAAATAAATGTACGTGTTAATTAGAGAACCAACCTCACCAATTCCCATGAAGGCACGAACCACAAGCAAGAAAGGCAAACCAACCCTCGCAGCAATGGGTGTTAGAGCCGTGGCAATAGACCACCATACCACGCCAAATCCCAAAACAAGCTTTCCACCAACTTTGTCTGCCCAAATACCTCCAGCAACCTGAGCTTATTATAAAAATTTAGGGGAAAAAAAAAATAGTAAAAAAAATTCATAACAGAAATGACTTTGCCCTCTATTCTAAAAAGTGAAGTGTGATTTTCTTATATTATTATAACTACAGTAGTTGTAATACTACCGTGGATACTTGTTTCGCAAATGAAAAGAAAGGAAGAAAAAAAATTTCCGCCAAATTGAATAATTACAACAGAATTTTAGGGAAAGCATCTTGTGGTTACCTGAGTAATGAAGGTAACCGCCAGAAAAAAAGAAGATTGTATCAAACCAACAGTTGCTGGATTCCAGTTGTACTCTTGGGACATCGGAAGTATGGCAATGCTCATGTTTACCTGCCAAACATAAACTGTTCAAAGTTTCTAACAGAAGACATCAGACCCCAAATTACTAACTAGCAGTGTGCCACTGCTATATACAAGCCTTGACTTGGTTGATCACTTGTTAAAGGAGAACAGTAACTAAGGCAGTAAAGAATTAAGTATCAGTTGTCTGGTTCAAGAGGCAGTTTTAAGGGACATTGACCTCATCTCATTTTACATGCCAATGACAATGAAATGCAGTATGCATATCCTCCCATTACATATAATCCTTTTGCACTCTGCTTTAGTTTTGAAATACTTCAAAATGACAAAAGGGCAAGAGGGTTGTAATGTTGGAGCAATGGATGAGTTGCAAAGGTTTGAATCATCAAAATTAATACTCATTAACCTGAAAGAAAAATAAAATTGGCCTGGGTACAACAAGCAATTCACCTTTTACATCTGAGGGAGCTTCATTGGAAACTAAAATAACTTATTCATCTGAGGAAGTTTCATGAGCAATTCACCCCATGAGTTTCTTAGATTCACTCTTTCATTGTGTTAGTATATACACTAACTATAACAAGACAGGTATGGCATAGAAGTCATGATATTACTGCAAAATTTGTTTCAAAATAAGACTAATTAACGTAACCGAAATTGCAATGACCATTCTGCATTCAGCACAATGTAGCGACATGAAAGCAGAACCACAAGAATGGAAACAAAAATCTTCCCAAGACTAAGAGCTGTTAAAGAATAGTATAAAGTATTACTAGACTGTCTTATTACCCTATTCCAGCTGAACAAATTTTAGCACTTCAGGATAAGCAACAGTAATTTTATTTTGTTTATTTATTTTTTCGGGTTGCTGGATCTAATCAAGATTGAGCATTTATGCTTGGACATGAACATTAAAATTATAAACCAAACCCAACTAAGTTTCCTTATTTTCACGTTTGTTTGGCGGATTAGGTTGGATGAGATTGTTAGTGAAAGGATTGATAGTGAAGAGATTGTTAATGTGGGGATTGTTAGTGAGAAGATTAAATCAAGGTATGTTTATTTTGATGATAGTATAGGAGGTGATTAGTGATGGAATTGTTAAATTATTTTTATATAAAATAAATAAATAAATTATTTATATATTAAAAAAAATTAGAATAAATATTAAAACAAACAGGTGCACTTGGTTAAAAAAAATAAAATTTTTATATAAAATAGACTCAATTCCTTCACTATTTTCTTAATCTCACCAAAAATCCAACCAAGCTAATCCCTCTATGTGAGAGTATTCATAGTCCCACCATAGGACTACTAGTATCCTTCTATTTTTGTCAACCAAACATGGGCTATGTAGGACCCACAATTGATAGTCCAATCCCCCTATCTATGGAGCCAAACAAACATGACCTATGTTCCAACCAAATGGGTCAGCTAAATGAATTAAATAAAATAAATGAGCAAATTACACTAACTTTAATCGAAGTTTGGAAAAAATACACTTGAGCTCCATAAGTTTTACCGATTTACATTGCACTTCCATAATGTTTAATTCTCAAAATACTCCGCCCCCTTTTAATCACTAATTCATTAGCCCTGTAAATGAAAAAATATGAGAAATATATATTTTACCTTATTTATTCCGGGGGGGCTACATGAGCAAGGATCCTCTAGAGTGAAATTTCCCTAAAGTTTCCTAAAGTGCTACATTGTGTGGTTGAGATTTACTGGCAAGTCACATCAGAAATAAAGTTTCCTAAAGTGCTACATTGTGTGGTTGAGATTTACTGGCAAGTCACATCAGAAAAACCACACAATGTAGCACTCTAGGAAACTTTAGGAAAATTTCACTCTAGAGGATCTTTGGTGGGGCTACATACCCACCATCTATATTCGTTTTAATCATTTTTATTTTAAACTTAGTAAGAGATTGATATTTGGGGGAATTACATGATGTCAGTGAAAAGTATTTATAAAAAAGTGGAAAATATTATAAATATTAATAATTAAGGAGAATTCTATTATACATACTCTATATCAGTATGTCATTTTTTTTCTTTAGTTATGATATTATTTTGAGATTGTGGTCATAATTTTTTTTATGTTTGGTTATTACTTTTATTTTTTATATTTATTTTGTTAAGTTATGGCTAAGAGAGGGTATGGATTTTCTGTAATTATAATACACACCTATAGTCTTTCCCAATAATTAATATCATAAAATTTTTCACTAATATATAATTATTTTTTAAAAACCACCATAAACAATAATTTTCCCTTGATATTTTATCAAATTTGCACAATATATATATATATATATTTCCAAACAAGGTAAATAAATTCATATAGGAGTATTTCTTACTATCACCTCTCCTAATATTTTTGATTTACAAACATGGCATCATTTTCTTTGCCATTGCATCTACAGATTAAAGAATAGTACATAATAAAATTAATTAACAAACGGCAATTAATAAATAAATAAACAGTGTTTATTAATAAATGGCAAACAGTGTTTATTATATAATATAATATAATATAATATAATATGGGGGTATGGGAACATAATTAACAAGTAATAAAAGTAAAAGTAATTACTCTATCCATATTGCAGAGTAGAAATGCGGAGAAGCAGAGGATTACAATCACCCAACGCTTGGGGAACTCTTCCCTCCAGGAAACCGCAGCAGCAGCAGCATCATCCAAATCGTCCAAAACGACGTCGCTGAGAGAGTCCTTGAACTTGACCGCTTCGGGGACAGAGTCAGCGACGTCGTACTGCTCCGACTTCACTTCAGCCCATACTTTCCCAATTCCCCTCCTCCGAACCAAACCTTTCTTCGTTACCGAAATTCCACGCGAGACATGAAACCGAAACCGAAACCGAAAATGAAGACGAAATTGCGATTTTCTCGGAATGAAAATGTCGGGAGGAAAGTTGTGTTTGGGAGATGAGTGGAAATCTGAGGGGAAACAGATGAGAAGAGCTCTGGCGTTCATGGCTTTTTTCAGAGAGTAGATTTTTGTTGAAGAAATTGGAGTTTTGTGGGGGGCGGAAGGAAAATAAAAAGATTTTTAATGGATTGCGTGTTTTTGTTTGGGACTGATTGGTTATTCTTTTGACGCGTGGCTGTCATGTGGGGAAGACGATTGGATACAGGAGTCCTATGAACCCATTTCCACTTCTTAAAACTTGAAAGTTAAGGTTTACGTTTTTAATTTTTTATTTATATTTATAAAAATTTAAAAAACTCAAATAAAAACTTGTTTGGTAAATTTTTGATTATAAAATAGTTGTCTTAGTTTATAAATTTGACCAAAAAATATAAACTCAAAAAATGTGTTTCCATTTTTGAATTTGAGTTTTTTTTTTTTTACCACCGGACACTGCCACCACCCGCCACGCGTTCTATGCCGCCACCACCCACACCCACCCCCCACAATCCTACCACCCACACACTTACCACCCCACCTTCCACCCACTACCCACCTCCGCCACCACCACACCCACCCTTTCGTGCGCTACTGCCGTCGCCCACCACCACTAAGCCCCTGCCACCCACTACCCATCACCCGCCAACCACCCACCCCTCGTCCCGCCGCCGCCACACCACCCACCACCACCTGCATCCACTCGCCACCCACCACCACCCGCCAGTACATCCACCGCTCGCCACCACCACCCGCCAACCACTCACTACCACCGCCACCCCACCACCAACCACACACACCAGCCACTCGTTACACCCACCACCTGCCATCGTCACCACCCCACCCGCCACCACCATCTCCCCACCACCCACCATCCGCCACCACCCATCACACCACACCTCCGCCCACCATCACCACCACCCACTCGCTTCACCACCACCACCCCCCCCCCCCCCCCACCACCCACCACATCTTCCCCCCCCCCCCACCCGCTACCACCCGCCACCGTCACCCACCCACCCAACACCACCACCATCACCCGCCATCCGCCATCCACCTGCCACCACCACCCACCACCACCTCCCACTCACTACCACCTACCATCCACCGCCGTCACCCACCCACACACCACCACGAGTTACCCACCACCCACCGTCACTACTTTCCACCACCGTTTTCCGCCGCCACTTGTTATTTCTCACTCTTTTTTATATTTTTAAATTTTTTTAAACATTTTGTCAATTACCAAACGCGTTTGTAGTTTATGTTTTTCAAAAAATAAACAAAAACCAGTTTATAAAATTTTTATAAATATAAACTGAAAGCGTAAACGTTACCAAACAGACCCTAATTGTGTTAAAAAATAATGGTCATATATTTTAGGAAAAATTATTGAAAAATTACATTTGGGGCGGTTTTGGATCGAAAGATCCTTTTTTATTTTTAATATTCTTGGAAGTCCCATTTTGTCGGTAATGTTATCCGGGAGATCCCATTTTGGCTGATTTGGGAAAGATTATGTGACTGCTTTGCCCTTGTTCGGTATGGTAACTTATTTGTTTGGAATGACAATCCCATTGATTACGAATCTTATTTGGAAAGGAAGATTTGTAGAGGGTAGGCTTCTGTGTGTATTTGAAGGATGTGTGTGTGGTGTAATGTACCATACTGAATAGATTGATGTGGCTGGGGTTTTGGCTAGGAGATTGCGAACGTAGGAATCTGTGGTCATCAGGTTGTCATTGCACTTAGGTAACGTATTCGGTGTTACGGTTATGTGGTTGTCTGGGTTCTCATAGTGTTGGTGTGGAGGGGAATGGGGATGCCGATGTTGTGCGATATGAAAGGTTGTGAATGTAGGGGAGTTGGATGGATTGTTGGGTGTATATTTTTTCTTTTCTAAATCCATGTCTTGGAGTATTTGTTTTCTTTGGATTTAATCGCATATTTTGTTTTTGTTAGTTGCAGGGATGGGGGATAACTTAATGTTGTTGTGTTCGTACGGTGATTATAACGTTGCTGTCATGGTTGATGCGACATTCACGTATAGCAAACTGGTTAGTCATCTTTGCGAACGATTCGGGGGTGTCTCTGGGTTCGGTGTCTATGCTCTTCAGGATTGCCGGGTACATTAAATTCAACATGGACAACGAATTGGACTTCCAAAACATGATGTGCCTTGTTAGTTCTTTTTGGGTGAATCACGTTGACATCATTGTGGAATTGGGCATGGACTCATTGGTGGACAAACGCCAATGGGGCATCAGTGAGAATTCGCAAGGTGGATGTATATATGTGGGGGGAGGGGAATTGACGCGACAGAAGATGTGAACGAAGATGATGACTTGTTACCTAATTTTCGCATGCACACACAGAAGGTATTGTTGTTGGAGTCATGGGCTTTTGGCATCAATAATGTGGGGCAGTGTTTTGAAGGTGGGGCGATAGAATTTCAGAAAGTTCTCAGCAAATATGCTATTGAATGCGGGTTCCGATTTAAGTTCAAGAAGAATGACTCGATTAGAATTACAGCGGTCTGCATGTTTAACGAGTCAACGGGATATCCATGGTTTGTCCATGCTAGGGTGATGAATGTGAATGGGTTTTTTTACTTGAAGAAATGGGATAGCAAGCACACCTGCGGGGTTGTTGTGCAAACTGCAAATAATCAGAGGATGGGTTCCGAACTGGTTGTTGATGTCATGGCAGAACGCGTACGTGACAAGCCGCTGATGCGTCCAATAGATGTAAAGTATCATTTCCAGAAAGATTACGGATTGCAGGTTAGTTATCGTGTAGCTTGGTTGGGGGTTGAGAATGCGATGGGGGAATTTTTCGGTGATCATTCTGCCTCGTTCGACCAATTGCGGTGGTACAACAATGCCGTTATGGAATACAATCCAAGGAGTTATGTTAATCTATAATTTGATACAAGTAACACATGTCGGTTCAATAGGCTTTTCATATCATTTAAAGCATGTATTGATAGGTTCAATCAGTGTTGGCTGCTGCTATTTTTGGATGGTACGTTCTTAAAAGGGAGATTCAAAGGTAACTTGCTCGTAGTTACCGCCAAAGATGGCAACACAGGTTATGTGTGTTTACCATTTTATTTGACATGCTGTAATGCTTTAGTTTTTTTACACTACAGGGTTGGTATGGACTGGTGCATTTTCGGTTGAGTTATGTGTGTTTGCAATGTATCGAAAATCACAAAACCGGTGGTCTCACATAGTTTTACAATGTTTTGTTTTTTTCTTGCAGGGTTATTTCTAGTGGCATTCTCAATTGTTGATTTAGAGAATGCATCAAACTGGGAATGATTCTTACAAAATCTTGCTAACATAGTTGATGGGTCTCGGTCATTAACGTTTGTTTCGGATCGTCATATTGGTCTCTTGGAATCCATACCTGTTATTTTTCTAACATCACACCATGCATTTTGTATGTAACATTTACAAAGGAATTTGAGAGACAGAATGAAGTATGTCAGCAACCCATACTGTATTGGGCTAGTTAGTAAGTTCCGTAAATACGCGTATGCACCAACCGTGTCCGACTTCAACCAAAAATTAGAACAATTTATACAATCTAGCCACCAGTTTGCAATAAATTTCTTGAAGGATTTGGACCCACGCCATTGGGCCAATGCGTATTTCACGTAACAATTGATCGCTTCTTGCTAATTTTTTACCCACATCAATGAAAACGTAGTACACATGCCATTACTTCATGTAACTGACATTTTACCACAAATACATAGGGGCAATCGGTATGGAGAGATATCATCTAACGCAACTCAACTGCTCAACAATTGGATAAAGGAAGCACGACATTTACCAATCACCAGGTTAGTTGACGCAATTAGAATAGAGATAATGAATCAGATGGCGGATCATCGGGGGGTGTCCACTACATAAGCTAGAATAATATGTCCTAAAATGGAGTACAAATTGGATAAGGTATACGAGGAGGGTAGATCATGGACAGTTAGCCAATCAAACAATGATGTGTACGAGGTTCACTCCCACTCATTCATGTTGATAGATATTGGAAAGCGTACGTGTTCATGTTTTCAATGGCAAACAAATGGGTTGCCTTGTGAACACGCAATGGTTGCCATCCGCAACAGTGGCACAGATTTAAACGGTTTAGTTGATCTGTATCTCCACGTTGCCAACTATCGGGCATCATATTCTTACACAATATACTTAATCCCAACAGTTGAGAAACCTGAAATCAGCCCAGATAAATATGTTATGCTCCTCTCCGCTGTTCGGCGACCACCCGGGAGGCTGAACAAGAAAAGAATATCGTCTAAAGGCGAGGAAGTACAACAAATCCAATGTGGGCGTTGCGGTCGTATGGAAAATCATAACAGGGCGACATGAAAGGAATCAATTTAGGGTCACTCATTAAGTTCGAGTCGTTGCATACTTATGTTTTATTTCTTATTTATTACATTTTACATTAAAAAACATTGTTGTTTTGCATTATTCCGCCAACACTTGCCTAGCTCGTTTTATAATAATTACAGTAACTCCTTTTGGATGTGTTCCCAAGGCACCAAACATTTACATCCCACATAAAGTTGTTCCCAAATACGTTCCACCCCACTTTCATTTTTTAGACATTTTTGTTATGTTCCGTTTACAGAACTTATTACATCAACCAACAATAACACAATTCCTGCTATTGAGTTCTAACTCGGACACAACACATCCACACTGGATATGGAATAAACTAAGTTTTTCAATTTTCAAATTTTCTAGCATACAAAGTAACCAAGCAGACTATAATTGAGTGTATATCTGCAATTGGACATTTGTTTCCCTCATAATGTCTTGTTCTCAACGGCAGCGTCATAATGTAAACAACTACTTCGGCACGCACGGACAAGTTTTGAATTTTGATTAACAATGTGGCACTTCACTCGTACCAAGCATCTTTGCAGCAATATCCTGGCCGGTCAAACTTTGGTACCATTCCTTATTTTTTATTTTAATGGTGTGTTCCGCCTGCCATGTTCATATTAATCCATACAACAACAAACCATAATTAAGTACATGTACATACATGGTCACATTTTTCACTCGGAAGAAGTTCTTTAGAAAGAATAGTTAAGCTTAATGCGCAACA